ATCATCAGCTTTCTTAACAGTGTTGTTTATGCTTCTGCTGGTGAGCCATGAGGACCTTTCAAATAAAAAAAAACATTTTCTAAGCGAACTTAAATCTTAAATAAATGTTCACGATTCTCCAACAATCGCCCTCCTGGTCCCCCTCGTCCTCAGACGACGCCTACAGACCCCTCCCCAACAAGTGACATTTCAACACAGAGCTCGACAGCAAAATCCATATTTCCCACACGTGTGTGTCTGTGGCAAAGCTGGAGGAAACAGGGGAGAAGAGGGGTGAACTTATTTTTAGCAGCAAAACGGCAGTTGTTGGGTTATTAAAAAAAATTGTTTGTTTTTTTAACTTCCTACAGGCTCTGAGAAAAAAATACATTTGAAGTTGAGTGTTTGAAAAAATCCAAGAGATTGTTCTAAACGTCTATACCTGCAAAGTGAGGTTAAATCTGAGTATCCTCCTCCAGACGCATGATGGAGTACATACCTGAGCCGATCGCTGTTGTTGACAGTGTTCTGTAAAATAAAGCACTGTTCAAAAATGGCATGTCTGGAATAAAAGCAGGAATCCACTTGGATTTGTAACAAAGCTTTATTCTCATCGGACTCCAATCAGTTTCAGACAACAGTACCCAGCCACACAGACAGTGTGTGCACTTGGCCTGTATCAGAAAAACACAACAATCCCTGTCAGCAGCCCAGCTGTCCCAAGCTGATCTAACAGAGAGACTGTAAAACACTTCTAAAAACACTTCTTTCCTCTGTAATAATTCAACCTCACAACCTCTTCAGTCTCTTCCTGGTTACAGCCCTGGAGGTGTTACCATTTTAAGTCAGACATAGAATGTAACTCATTTTTGTTTAAGCTAGAGAGCGAACACGTGATAACACCAACTCTCCCTTTAAAGTTAAAGGCTGCAGTGATCRGGAAGCATAAAATACAAAACTGCATCTAACATTCAGTTAATGATTTGCAAAATTTCCTTCAGTTCAGCTGACTGATTTAAATACAGCCTAACATTCATGTGGTACTTTGCATTGACTGTTTATGGTTTAGTGTGGGCGTGTAGAGGGCAGAACCTGAGGTGGGACTTTGTGCGCAAACTCTGACGTGCAGCTGTGATCTATAAAGAGAACTTGCTTGAAAGAGTGCGTACGCACGGTTTTATACTGTAAATCAGAATTTTTTGGCATATGCCATTTTTGCCTTTTGGCTGTACATTCACTTTTAGCATGATTTCCACGCAATACTTTATAAATGTGGCCCCTGGCGTGAAAAGTGGCATACGCACGTTTCTGGGCTCATTTTGTGCGTACTCAAGCTTTCTAAATCCGACCCCAGGTCTGTAAAGGTTAAAACACTTGAAAAGCAGATAGACTTGATAAGATTAAAACATAAAATAAAACTTTAATTCAATACAGAAGAAAAAGTTGATCTATCACGTTTACAAAGAGATCTGAACCCCAAATTCAGCGTGAATGGCTGATGATCAGGAGAAACTTTATAAACAGTGGCATGAATGATGTGGCAGCTAAAAGGACTTACAGGCTGAAACAGGAACACACATGAGGAAACAGACATGAACGGTCATGGGAGACAACACACCACACAACATAATGCACCGACACGCAACCGAGGACAGGAGACAGGGTATAAAGGAGAAATAATGAAATGGAAATGAGAAGAGACACGAGGAACAGGTGGGCGGGGCCAGAGCAGAGACAGACAGGAGAAATTAATATGACATAGACTCTCACAGAAATACAAATAATCAGAAACCAAGAGAGGAACTCATTCAGAAGATATTATCAATTGTTGATGAAGGGATATTCAAAGTTTTTACAATTAACTGTTAGGGTACAAGGAAACGGAAAAAGCTCCGTAATTTTTAGACACAGTTTTTGCAGACTGGTAACCCTCTACTCATCTTTACTACTCACAAATGCACATTTTATACCCAGCAGGGTTTCCCCTAGGATTTTTTTTAACCGTGGTGGTGGTGGCCTCTCATGCAGGGGGTAACAAGACAACAGGTTGTCAAAATCTGGTTGTCCGTGTAAGAACCTGCTCCATGAGACTAATACCAGCTTAATCTCATAAAAGTCATGTCCCACAAGATCTTGCAGAAGGANAACGAGGGCTGGGCGATATGGCTGAAAAACTTCTTACAATATAATTGTTTTGCATCGGTCAGTATCGATAATTATTGATTAGTTTTAGACAACATCTGTCTGACTCTTGTTGAACTTAAAATATGTGAAAAACTGCCAAACTCATGATGTGACCTTTCCTTTTATATCCACAATTTCCTCTTGAGCTGTTGCATTTTGTTCTTTTTTATTTTTAAGCACTTAGGCACGATGGAGAAACATGAAACTGCTGCTGCACAGGTTTTTTTTTTTTGCTAGCTAACTTTGTTTAGCTGCAGGCTTTTGTCTGTTGGGGCGTCGTGTTGACTCCCTCTTCAGTCTTTAGATGCCTCATTTCTGTGTAACAGCATCCTAAATCATAATAACCCTAGCATGGTGGACCGGTCCAGCAAGCTATCGCTCCTATGTGTTGACAAGAGGGAGAAAGAAACGCCAGTTTACACATTTCAAAATGAAGCATGAGCGATTGTTTTTTTGAGCGGACATTTGTTATCTATTAATAGCTTGAAGCTTTTATTTTGAAGGTGAATCTTAGCTTTCCCGGTGTTGTTTACCTGAAAGATCCTAGCTTAGTTTATCATAAAGTTATCAATTGTTAGTTAATAACCAGTGAAATTATCGATTTAATATCCAAAATGTTTTCTATTTATATTGAACACGTGTCTATAGCAGTATATAACACTGATGTATTATCACAAAGCCCTATTTGTAAATATTTCAATAGTTAAAAAAAAAACACAGCACATCCTAATCTTTCTTTGGAACTTTGTTTTTGTTTATCAGCCCTCCTATCATGCATTTGTTMAAAAATACAGATAATGTTTTCATATTTGATGACAAAAAAACTCAGCCTTTTATTGAGTGATCATTTTTCAAGACATCTCATCTATTCAAGACAACAAGATTTTATTCATCTCTTTCACCCCAACAATCAGCCTAAATGTGATTAGTTGTGCAATAGCCTGATTCTGTGTATTCGAAGAGGATATTTAAACATTTTTTTTAGTATCTCAAGATGAAAATTGTATACCAAGTTTGCAGTTTGGTCCCAAGAGTAAAATCTTTAACTCCCACCTCTGTTCCAGGATATCAGCCCCCGCCGGCCTGCCCGTGTCTCTGGCCCAGCGAGCGCGCTATGCCACTTACTTTGACGTGGCGGTGCTGCGCTGCCTTCTGCAGCCTCACTGGACGGAGGAGGGTGTGCACTGGGCCCTGATGTACTACCTTCAGCGCCTCAGGCAGATCCTGGAGGAGAGGCCTGAACGCAACCCAGAGCCCCTGGTCCCACCTCTGCCACGTCCACGCAGCAGCTCCATGGTGGCTGCAACCCCATCGCTGGTCAACACGCACAAGACCCAGGTAGTGCGGAGGGGTTTGGCTTCGTTTGCCAAGATTATTTGAGGATGTTAAAGTCTGAGATGGATTTTGTTGTTTGTAAATGCTTCTTCATGCCAGTGGGGTTCAGTATCATCAGAAAGGATCATAAGCCTCATTGTGAGGGCTTTCCTCATTACAGTTCAGTCAGAGAGAGAGGAGCTGTTCTGGTTTTCTCTTGGCCTGATTCAGTGGTAGAGTTTTGTTTTGGTAGTGATGGTGAGAAAATTTACCCAGGATAAAATGTTCTCTGTCTTGAGATATTTAAAACTCCACCTACACCACCAGCTGACGCTGGATGCTGATTGGCTGGAACAAATGCTCCGGGTTCCTCCTTCAAACCCACATTACAACACTTTGGTCTTTGAAACGTGTTCATTGAGCTTTCAGCAAATGTTTGAACCAGGGTRTGGACTTCCTGCTGGTTCCTTCTCAAGACCTGGGAGTCTGTCAGGTGGACTACCAGGGCCGTGTTGTCAGCATATTTGAAAAGTGTCATTCCTTCTCTGCTGCAGGTAATGCCGCAGGTGAAAGCAGAGAAAAGAAGACAAAACAGCCCTGGAGCAGCCCAGTCTTTAAAACCATTAAAACACATGTTGTACTCTGTCCTTTTACCATAAAAGCATTACAAGTAAAGCTGAAGGTTGGAGAGGTGATACTACAGTGAGTTGATGTTTATGGTTTTAAAAGCCAATGAAACATCCATGGTCTGCGTCCTGAAACATGACGCGTATATTGTGGAATTTAAAACCTATGATTGTCAAGGATGTAAAAACTATGCTGTACGTTTCCTTTTCTGAAACAAATATCTGCAKGTCTGCAGATGAGTCCTGCAGACCTGCTGTCTAAAAGCACGTCTCCAACAGTCGAGCTGTAATTAAAGATGGAAATTTAAATATATTGTGCCCAAAAAAGGCGGATCAGCAAGGAGTGTGGCAAAAAATGTTTTAGACTAAAGTTTAAAACTAAAAAGGCTGTAAACACATGTAGAACAAGACAAAACAAAACAAAACCATTTCAAAATAAAAACATAAAGCACATCTCAAAAAAAGAGACTGTTTGTAAGAGCTATGAGAAATCAGCTGAAGGAAGTGTAAATTATTATGTTTTGAACCATTAAAAGCTGTCCACAGCTGTTGACTAAAAGTACAGCAGGTAAAATAAGTATGGAACACGTCAACATTTTTCTCAGTAAATATTTTACTAGAGGTGCTA